CATTTTTGTAGTTACTCTATTCATCTTGTTGAGGGTTTTGTTCTCTTTCACTGGCCCCTGAGCATTGGCCCTCTATTTTTCCCAGCCTGACGGAGAACGGTCTACCGAATGACCTCTCAGTTGCTGGAATCTGAACCCATGAAGGGATAGGTTGGGAAGAGCTGAGAATCCTAGCCCCCGATGTAATAATATCACAGAGAACTGAAAACATATCCTGTTTCTTCCATACTCCACACACCTGTGCTTGGAAGAAAGGTGGACCTGCATCCCAAATGTACCTGTGAGCAATAGGATAAAAGAAAATACTTTTTGGGTGAAGGGACAGCAGAAACCTCATTTTTTTATAAACCCCTATTAACGCTAGTGGCAGAAGCAGGCCATAAAAATTCTTAGCTTAGGGCAAACACAAGTGCCCCAGATAAAGCCTGGTCTGTCCTTGAAAAGCAAGGAATTAACTAGTGTCTACATGACACAAAAAGAGTAAAGGCGGGCAAAGTAGCCAGCTCATCAAAAGCCGATGAAATGACTGATCCCCCGGCCCGCCAATCTCTCTGCCCTAACAGGGGCACTCAAGAAAGGGCTATAAAAGCAAGTGGGAGGGGGAACTTGAGGCTTTTTTCCCTCACCACCTTCCTGAGGAAGGAGAAAAGTCTCCACGCGTGGAAATAATATAATAAACGCTCTTAAAATTTCAGACATGTTTTTAGATTTCTTTGAGTGGCATTTTGTGGGCAGTACATTGGGACCTCACAGGGCACTTGAATCATGGATTATAGGAAATGGAAGGAAAGTGGACACAGACCAAGAAGAAGGTCCACACAAATGATAACACAGGGCTGTAGGTCAATGGGTTCCTTCATCCACCAACTTTAGTAATACTGAAGTGTATTCTTGGAATTTATCAGCTTTTAATGTGGTAATTCCTCAAATGTGCAAAGGTACTTCCGCTGGTAGTTATTTTGTACTGTGGAGTCGGAACTGACCCATAGCTGAATCTCCAGGGGTATTCAGAGGCTATTCGTAACATGAGAGGTGACTGTCTGTCTCCCCCAAAGCAGCTGGTGTTTTTGAACTGCTTACTTTTGTGTTTGTACCACAATTCCTTATCACTGAGCCAACAAAGCTCCAAAGACTCTTATTATTGTACTCTTAGCTGTTGTGGAGCAGATCCTCTAATTCATGGGAGTTTGATGATGAGTTGTCATCTCCCAATGAGTTGCTGATTAGGCCTGGATAACTTGAGATTTGTGATATTTTCATTGGTTGAGTTTTGGGAGCAGATAGTTCTACATTTCTTCCTTAGAGGATGTTCTGCTGAAATCTGTTCATAGCAACATGCAAACTTCCTATGCATTGTCCAAAGTTATATTCTCAGCCAAATGTGCAGACAACTATCATGCAGGCACTCGGTTCAAATCTACCAGCAGATCTGCAGGAGTAGGATGTGCAGTCTCCTCTCATGTGATTAACTGCCTCTGAAAATCTGCTGGAGGGTCAGCTATCGGGTCAGTTCTGAATTGAAGGCGCACAACAACAATAACAACATACCATCCAAGAAACAAATCATTCTCATCCATTTCCTTATAAAAAAGGAAATGAAAAATGAAAATAAATTACAAAATGATTGTAGGCTTACCAATACTTTTGGCTATATACATTTTTATGCCAATTCTCTAAAAGCAACAAATACTAAATGTACACTGTCAATAGTGACTTGGGAGGGGGGATCCTGGGGACCTAGAGTGGGGTACAGAGTCTGGTCGGGATCAGGAAAGTGTTATCCCGGCCTTATTCTATGTGGACACCCTCCTCACCACACAGAGCCACTGACATCCTGGATGAGATGTGATGATGTATGCACATTCAATAAGGCATCCTTTCCTGAGGGCATTCAAACAGGAAGTGAAGGAAGAATGTTACCACCATCTATAGGCCTTACCCCAAGGCATGACTCTTTGAAAAAACTTGATAATTTACATATACTGATAAGACAATTAGATTCCTGGATCCTGATAAGGCCCTGGGCCTGATTACACATTGACAGGGCCCCTCCACCAAATTCCTGAGCAAACTAACACTCTGGGTGTCCCTGAAAACCCCTATAAAAGGCACCTGTCTTTGTCTGCCTGCTCTTCACTCTGATCCTCTCTTCTAGGGTCACATGGCCACTACTTGAGACCACCTTCTTTCTTTGTTTCTTCTTGCTCCCAACACTTTTTTCTATTTAACAAGAAATGTGTAATTTCATGTATGGTGACAGGAATGTTGACCCCAACCACTTCCTTGGTACCTGGTTTGAGGGCTGAAATGGTTGACAAGTACCCCTGTAGAGGGGAAAGTCCAGTGCAATTAGTCCAAGGCTGACAAAGTTCTATACGGTAAATCAGGCATCAGTACAGAGAATGTGAATAATACGGGATGCCAGAGCCTGAGAGTAGATTCATGTAGTGGGAGATGTAATAAAATATATATGTCGAGATTAATCAAACAAAGACAAATATTCCTGCTAATTCCGAAGCAGGAGAGGCATCCACTTCCCAAACAACACTGGAAACTCTATGAACTTTGATAAATATCTATAGTTGTGGAGGAGCTTCAGGCCTTTTGTTCATTGGGTTGCTATGAGTCCTGCTTGATTGGAATGCAATCAACAAGAAGAATGAAAGCCAGGTTTATATAAAAATTAGTTGCAGGTAGTAATAATGATGTCATTGATGTTAGTTCTGTTTAGATCACAGCTTGCCGTCATGATGAGAATTTTGTTTCTTCAACATCAGTAGGATGGATGTTAAGGGTCACATGTTAATGGTTTCAAGGCCAACATCTAAGTGTGTTTTTTCTATAATGTGAATCTGTACAATTGGTAGTATATTTCCCTCTCTTCTAGATGAAGTTGCTTTAATGAACACAGTTTGGAAATGCAATTGTTTCCAAATCTAAACTATACTTCTTGGGCCATATATGACAATTTATTGAAAATATGGGCAGCAATAAAAGGTACTTTCTGTGTAGCTGTCCTATGTAGATCTAGGCCACATGGACTCATAAAAGAAACGGACAAACAGTAAACAAATCCACTGAAAGTGCCCAAACCAACTTTGTTTGGGTTTAGATGATGGATCTGTTATGTTCACCTCTATGTTGGCATTTAGTAGAGTTCAGTGTGTATTTGCTGGTTTATTGGTGGCAAAAGTTGTGCTTCATTGTCCTGCTGCACAAAGGTAGTCATTCTAGCCCAAAAGACTGACATAGCACGTGGAAGGTCATGTTGATTCTGACCCTACGTCAATGAGTTGAGTTCTCATCCAGTATTATTAGCCTATAGGCCACTAGTGACAAAGAAAGAGAAGCTCAAAGGAATTCAGTCTAATGAATTGCAAAGTGGCCAATGGTATAAGAATTTATGACTGCTAGCGGGCTGGATGTAGTAGTGGAAGGAGTTTGAGGAGGGTGAGCTCCCCAGTCCCCAGATTATCCCATCTGACCCCTGGGTAGGAAAAAAAAATGTCTAGGGTATCCAGAGAATTTTATCTAGGCTACTTTCTGCCACCCTCTCCCCCAGTAAACCTGAAAGCAACAACCACCACCACCCCCCCCCCCCCCCAAAAAAAGAGGGCTGACTGAACACAGGCCATAGATGTGGCCTGGGCTTCCAGCAAGATTGTGTCTATAGGAAACACCAGGGAGACATACTCCTTAGAATAACTAGCAAGTCCACCACCAGTAAGGAGATTGACAAAGAGCATGTACCCACGATAAAGTCTTGAAGGCAAGAACTAGTAGGATAGGAAGATTAATGGAAATTAGAATTACAGGGAGAAAATAGGAAAAATGTGATTGCCTTATGGATATTGTACTAAATGTTATAAAACAAAACATGTGAATGATTGAAGAAAAACCAACATATTCTGTAAACCTATGTGTATATAACAATAAAAAAAGAAATATTAAATGAAAAAAAAGAAAAAAGAATCGCAGCCAAGCTTTCTGGAGGGTTATTGTACCAAGTCTGTCCTCTCAGGGCTCTGTCTGGTGTCAGCTCCTCCAAGGTCCTTCTCTGCCAGAGTGACCGAGGCTGGCTTCTCTGTTGTAAGCCCTATTGGAACCACACATGTCACTGGAATTCCTAGGAAAGGCGGCAAATGGAAAAGGGTATATCTCAGAACAGTGTGGTCTGCAAGAGAAAGGATCTGATGGACTTTTAGAAGTCTCAGTAATAAACAGACATGAAAGAGAAAGGATAACCAGGAGATTAGATGCTGAACTAGGCCCTGAGTTCAGAGCAGGGTGTGGAGCAAAGGAAGGATATGAATCCCACCCTTCAAAGCTGCCAGTTCTCTTGATTACAAGGAGAAATGTTGGATTCTTCTTCTTCCCAGAGCCTTAGGATGGCCAGCTTGTCTTCCTGAACCCCGTGGGCACCCCTTGCTCTCTGCCACATAGAACAGGAAGCAGAGTTGAGGAGTTCCTCTGCGCATAGAACCTGGGAGGCATGAGTGTCCCACTGAGTGCGTTCTGCATTAACCCTGCAGAAGGGCAAGCCTGAGAGATAGGACAGATAGCTGGTTGACTCGTTGCATATGAGTTGTGGATGTAGAGTAGGGAAAAGAACATGATTTAAAACATTATTATGTTGTAGGTCTGCGTCAATAAGGATTAAAAGACCAGCAAAGCAAAAAAAAAAAAAAAAGGACAGAATCCCATTACCTTCAAGAAAGAACTCACTCATATCTGATCCAGCCCTGGGTTTTCGGAGGGTATAAATTGCACCATAGGTGATTGTTCCTCTTTCTTCCTTGGGGCATTTGGTGGACTTGAACTGCCTACATTTGGTTTGGCAGTGCAACTCCTTACCCACTAGGTCTCCAGAGCTCCCTCATCAAGAATTGCTCTCTGCTAAATAGGTAAGTGCCTAATAAAGACACAATCATTTCCTTGAAGTTAAGACACATTTATTAAGGTTCTTGACATTAAGAGAAGATGATCAAGCATAGAGGGGCTCAGGGTGATTCTTCTAGTTGGAGGCCTTTTATTGTTTTCTTTATCCAGGGTAAGAAAGTGGAGATTTTGGTGAAGATACGTGGAGGAGTTCCTGCTAAATTTCCATAGGAGGCAATGCCCTGCGCCACATTTCTGCATACCAAGGGACCTCCAGAGTCTCCCTGGGAACACAGAGAGGAAAGGCTGGGTTAATTGTTCTGTTGGTCCTGCCTCCCTCTACATTCTGGGAGCAAACTTCCCCAAAGAGGTAAAAAGACAGGGGTTATAGGCCTCTCTGGGGTCCCCCAGGGTGCCAAATCAGATGGTTGACATCATTGTTGTTTTATCCCTAGGTTGTGATCTATCTCCTTTCCTAACTCCAGGTCTCTTGCCTTCTAAGGAACTGTGGAACTTTACTTCCAGGCTACTGTTTAAGGAGAGGCAGATGGTTAATTGAAGACAGTGTATTGACTAGGGTGATGACAGCTCTTGAGTATTTACATGATTTTCATTGTTCAACTTGGAGGGAGAGCTTTTCCTTGTATGTGTGCTCTTGGTGGGTGGGACAATTGTCTCTACTTCCCCCACATTAAATTAAAAAAAAAAATCCAAACCAGTTCTTGACATCTCAGTTCATAGTAATCCTAAATGTTATAGAGTCCAACTGCTCATTGGGTTTTCTTCCCTATACAGTTTATGGAACACCTTTGAGAAGGTTCAAACCACAAATATTTAAGGTAGAACCTGAAGGGAAACTCTTTGTGCCTTAGGGATATTTGAGGTGACATGTTATTGTTGTTTTGCTGTAAAATCTGAACTGAACTGAACTGATCCTCCAGTGAGGTTTTAGAGATGACTAATTGCACAGGAAGAGATTACTTGCCTTTCTTCTGAGAAGCTCTTTGGGATTACAGTGACATTTCTTATCACCTACCCCTTTGGGATAAAATAAGGAGCAACAAATTCATCTTTCCAGGGGAACACATTTCTGACTTATCCCTGGAAGCTTACAGAGGCCTGAGTGACCAGGTAGTTCAATGTTCTTCTTATCTCAGAAAAATGGGTGAAGGCATTTCCCCCTATTGCTAGTTAGGACCTTTACATCCCAGGTCTTCCAGAAACATCCTTCTCCCCAGAGCAAGGCCAGGCTAATGCTAAGTCTCACCTTAAAGGAACACTTCTGTTTCTGAGGGTCTCCCACGCACAACTGAGATATTCTGTCATAATTCCGGAAGTGGCGCTCACACTGGAAGTGCTCTTGAATGATGAGGTCCACCTCATGCAGCTTGCTTGTTGTTTCATTCACAGTGATCCGTCCCCAGCCAGCCACACTGCACACCTGACCAGGCCTCACCTGGTCACTTTCTCCAGGTAGGGGGAGCAGGCCCACAGCTGCAGTCAGTTGGGCCTTTGTCTTCAGCTGATGAAGAAAACAACAAAGTCTGGTCACTCAGAGCCTGTTGCCCTCCAGACCCAGATGGGCTGCACGTTATCCCTTCTTCCTCCAGGTCCTGGGATTAGTGAAGCAGCCAAGATGAAAAAGGCAGGAGTCATGGTGGAAGAAGAAAATTTTTGAACCCAAGGGAGTAGGAGGAGCAGGGAGTGAGCCTCACCTGTAGTATCATGATGTCATTACTACCAGACCCATTGATAAAGATAGGGTAGGGGATGGCTTTTTTCACAGGAATTTTCTGCTGTGTATTTTCTTGCAAATCAATATCATGGGCCCCCAAGATGACATTCACGGGGCTGTACAGAGAGAAAAGAAGAGGTTCTCGGAACTGGAGCCCTAAAGCAGGTGACAGGTGGGGAGGGGAGGGCGGCTGCTGAGGGAAATGCTGGAGGGAGGGGCCCTTCATCTTGAGCTTGCTGAACCTTTGATTTCTCAGCAGCATGGTAGGTGGTTGTGGAATTCTCTTTTGCCCACAAGGTCATATGAAATGGCTTGACCATCCCTGCTCTTAACCTTCACTGTTTGCCTGAAATAGTCAGTACGGTCTTTCCTTAACCTCTTTACTTGCCTCATTCTCTGACCTCATGGGTTACATGTTGACTTACTTTTCACCACCTCATTCCACTCTCAAAATTTCTGATGATGAGAACTCTTGGGCTTGAGTTACACCCCAATAAAGTAGCTATTCTTAGTGGTAGGAATGTGAAGAGTCCTTGGAGGTTCTACCCCTCACCTTCCTGGGTCATGAGCTATTGTCAGGACAATATCTTCTTCCACAAGGAAACCACCACACATTCGCCACTTGCCATCATGAAGTAACTCCACAAGCGCCATGTATGGACGTGAATGAGGCTGTGCTTCATGACCTCCAATGATCTCCTCTGGGGGAATAAAAAAAATGGAAAATGTGAGGAGTGGGCATCCTACCTGATGATTGAAGACAGGATCAGCTTTGCTCTGTAGTTGTTGCTACTACATGTCCTGGACTAGCCCAAAAGTAATCCTTATTGGCTTGATAACATGCCCTTCCCTTCAAGTCTCAATGGGCCCTCCTAAAAGCTGATAGTGCTTATTCTGGACATCTAATATTAGACACATGGATGGTGGGGACACAGCTTGTCTTCAAAGATGCAAAACCCCATAGGATCATGGAGAAGAATCCCTGCTTTTCTGATTGGGCCCAGGTCAGCTCCTACAGGCCTGAGTCACTCCCCAGCTTGGCTATTCCAGCCCTGTTATTCTAGCAGAGCAAATGAAGGAATTATTCTATTGCTAGCAAGTATCTTCAGATCCTAGAGATTCCTGAAACATCCTTGTCCCCAGAGCCAGGCCAGGTTAGTGTTAAATCTCACCTTAAAGGCAGCCATCTTTTTCTTCAGGTTCACGATGCACAACTGAAAGGCTTTGTTATAATTCTTGAGTCAGGGTAGGGCTGATGCTGAGGGGAAATGCTGGAAGGAGGGGCCCTTGAGCTTGAGCCTTTGGCTTCTCAAGAAGAGCATTGAAGGTAACCAGTTGTGGGATTCCCTTTAGCCCTCAGTTCATAAGAAATGAATTGATCCATACCTGCTGTCAACATCCACTGTCTGCCTAAAACATCCAGTGTGATACCTCTCTGATCTTTCCCACTTGCTCAACCTCTGCCTTCATAAGCTAATGTTGACCTTCTTTTCATCACCTCATCCTGCTCACTAATGGTTCCTCTGATGAGACCCCTTGGGTCTGTGTTACACACAGCTACAGGATCTCCCCTGAGGAGCAAATATGGAAATATAAGTCCTTGTAACATCTGCCCCTCATCTTCCCCTGCAGTGAACTCCTGTCATGACAAAGTCTTCTCACACAAGGATATCACCACAACTCTTCTTCACTTCCCACTGAAACTAAAAACGTCATGTATGGATGTGAGTGTGGCTTTGCTATATGACCTCCAATGATCTCCTTTTAAAGAAAAAGATGGATGATGAGTTGACTGTGGCATCCCAGTCGATGATTGATGAATGGGTCATCATTGTCCCAGAGAAGCTGGAACAGATAGTTCATGGTTCTCCTGAAAGATGTGTTTCTGGCACAGTGACCCATTCCCTCCGTCAAATCTCAAACAGTTCCTATTAAATCTGACAGTGTTTGCTCTGGACAGCCCACATTATGCACATGGATAGAGAGTTGCATATGTTATCTTTAAGATGGCAGAGTCATTTTAAAGTATCCTGGATAAGAATCCTTGGACTATTCTGTTTGTTTCCTGACCTTTCTGAGCCTCTGCTAAGTTTGTCGTGCTTTCTAATAATATACCAGTATGTTAATAGAGGTAGAATTTTAGAAATGTCTTAGGGTTTTCAGAGCCTATTACATCTTTGAATCTCAGTAAATCTTTTTGTGATTGTATCATTGGACCACCCCCAATAAGCCTTTGGATGAGCCTTGGTATGGATTATACTCATGGGAATCAAAGCCAAAGTACTTTAAGGAATATTAACTGCAAAGACAGTGGAGTAACCAAAGCCTGGTGAGGCAGAGACACTAACTAGAAGTAGACTGTAATGAAGTTCAGACAATAGAAATTCTTTGAGATAAACTGCAACTTGAATTTCTTTCCTGGTCAGGTTTGAGCCCTGAGCCTGGAGAAAGAAGTCAAAGACAATGAAATTATTTTGACACCAAAGCTCTAATAGCACAAATGTTGTTGTTTTTCTTGTTGATGATTATTGGCTTCGAGTTGACCATGTCTCATATTAACCCCAAGAGCAAAGGCCTGAAGACCCTCTACAACTATTGACATTTATCCAAGTTCATAGAGTTTCCAGAGGCATGTTATTTATGAAGTGAATGCCACTCCTGCTTCCATCTGGTCATAGTAGGATATTGTTGTTATATGCCATTGAGTCAGCTGTGATGTATAGCAACCCTATATACAGTAGCTCTGAATGCTTTCCTGTACTGAGCCACTCACTAATTCTGACACACTAATCCCATTGCCCCAGTTACTGTATCAATCCATCTAATGGGGAGAAAGGGGAGTGTCTCCCTCACCAGTGCTGTCCATCCACCCTTCTGAGCATGATGTCTAAGGACCCATCTCTCCTGGCCACATGCCCAAAGTAAGTGAGACATAGCTTCAACATCCTAGTCTCCAAGGAGATACTTAGATACATTCTCTCCAAGGCAGATCTATTTTTTACTTGGGAGCCCATGGGATGTTCAAGACTCTTCTCCAGCATGACTACTTGAAAGTGTCTATTCTTCTGTCATCCTTAGTCATTGTCAATCTCTCAGAAGCATAACAAGTAATTTTGAAGGCCATGTTTTGGATTAGTTGCACCTTTGTATCCAGACTGACATCACTGCTCTTCAGCACTCTGGAGAGGTCCATGAGAGCAGATTGTCCCCATGCAACTTGTCTTTTGATTTCCCGACTTCCGGTGTGAAGAGTTTTGATTGTGGATCCAAGAAAGCTGTAACTGCTAACAACCTCAATCTTTTCTCCATTTAATATGATGCTGCTTACTGGCCTAGTGGTGAGAATCTTTGTCTTCTTGATGTTGAGCTTCAAGCCATATTGAAGACTACAGTCCTTGACCGTTTGCAGCAAGTGCTTCAGGTCTACTTCAGTTTCAGCAAGCAAGGTTGTGTCATCTGCTTAATGTAGGTTGTTAAGGAGTCTTCCTCCAATTTTGATGCCACACTCCTCATAAAGTGCTATTTGTGTTTTATTGATTATACAAAAGCATTTGACTGTCTGATTAACTAATTATGACTAATAACAGAGAATGAGAATTTCAGAACACTTATAATTTTGTTCATTTGAAACCTATACCTAGACCAAGAAGCTGTTGTTCAAAATGGAGCAAGGAAACACTGAATGGTTTATATAAGAAAAGTGTATGTCAGGAATGTATCCTTTCTCCATGTCTATTCAACATGTATGCTGACAAATCATTCTAAAAGCTGGACTCTATGAAAAATAATGGGGGATCAGAATTGGAGGAAGATTCATCAACAACCTCTGTTATATAGATACACAACCTTGCTTCCGAAAAGGGAGGAGGACCTGAACCACTTGGTGCAGAAGATTAAAAACTATAGCCTTAAACATGGATTGTATTTTAACATCATAAGACAAAATTCCTAACCAGCACACCAATAATCAACATTGATAGATGGAGAAAGATTGAAGTGCTCAATTAATTCATCTTACTTGGATCACCATCAACACCTTTGGTACCAGCCATCAGGAGATCAGAAGACAGATTACATTGGATGGCCTGGTCGTCAGAGATCTCTTTAAATTACTAAGGAGCCATGATGTCAGTTTGAAGAATAAGATGGGCCTGAGTCAGGCCATGGTCTTTCAAGGCACTTGATATGCATCCAAAAACTGGATAATCTATGTGGATGACAGAAGAACAATTAATACCTTTGAGCTGTTATGTTGGAGAAGAGTATTGAACCTTTGGGCTGCCAAAACACTGAATAGATATGTCTTGGAAAAAGTGTTAATGTAGTGAAAACTGGAAGCAAGGGAACAAAGCTTCATCTCACATACTCTGGGCATGTTGCTAGGAAAGGCTATTTGAGGGAGAGGGAATTCATACTTAGAAAGTCAGAACATCAGGAAAGGAGAGAAAGACTCTCAACGAGGTTGATTTGTGTGAGTGTGGCAATGGGTCCAAGGGTATCACAGATTATGTTGATGGTACAGGATAAGCAAGGGTTCAGAACCATAGGGTTGCTATAAATTATATTGAACTTGGAGGCACCTAACCATAGCACTGTAATAAGATCAGCAGCCTAACTATGCACATCTCTGGATCCACAGAGTGGAAGGAGTTGTGCTGCTAACCCTGAGGCTCCACATCGCTCGCCATTCAAACCCATCCTCGTCTCCTTGGGAGAAAGACGGAGTGATCTCTTCTCATGAAAATTACAGCATTGAAAATTCCCTGGAGGATCAGGTAGTTTCAAGTCCACAGAAAACACTTTGGCTTTGACCCCAATAATAAGCTTAAGTATGACATAATTTCTTATAAGGATAGCATCGGACCTGGAGGTGTTTCCTTTTATGGTGCATTGTACAACAAACTCAGCTATATCTAAAACAACAGTAATACTCTAATTCTTAGTGTTTTAGCTTCATTTTCCTGGGATACAGATGTGGGTAAGCAGTTGGCCTCTCAACACAGATACCCTCGGTTTAAAGCCACCAGCTGCTCCAAAGGAGAAAGATGGGAAACTCCTGCTGTGTAATTTATAGCTTCTGTCAACCTGGTGGAGAGGAAATTATGGGAAACTCCTCCTGTGTAATTTATAGCTTCTGTCAACCTGGTGGAGAGGAAATTATGAGTTGGTTCTGACTTATTAGCAATGAATTGTTGTTTAGCTTCTTTGCAAGCAAAAATGGATTTTAGTTACTTACCTTCATATCTTTTGCTAAATGTGTTTGTGAGAAAAACCTGCTTCCCAGGGAATCAGGAGAAGCTAGGGCACACTACCACCTCGTAAGCCTTTAAGTGGTGGCAATCCTGTTGTGATTTCACCCAAAACTGGGAAATTTGACAAAAAGCTAGGATAGTCTAACACCTAAGACTGTGTCCAGGGTGTCTAGTCATCCTTCTGGAACATCTATCCTATAAGAGACTGCTTAGTCTAGGTTTGATATGGAAGCTGGTATCTATAAAGTTTCTGGATTACATGGAAGGAATTCCTTACTGGCGTTGGACAGAAGGGCCAGGAGTACAAGTGGTTCAGGGAAATAGGCTCAGGTTCCTAGAATGCAGAGGGTCACTCACCTGCTGTAGATCCAGGAAGCAGGTGAAAGGCCAGCAGGAGCAGGAGTGGCTGCATCATCTGAGGAAGGCTACCCAGGCTAAAGCTGATGGTGTCTCGACCCAAAATAACCACAGTGCAATGAAGAGGGTCAGACCCAGTGACTTTATATCACACACATACATCTGTGATAGGCTCGTTTGCTTGGGTGTCATCATGTCAGTTGGTCTGCAGAATTTTTCTGATTAAGTTAGATGAGAACAACAGTGTCCCTACATTTTTTTCATAGCTGCTGAGTCCCAAGCAGAAAACACAAATAAAGAACAAGAAGATGAAGGTTGCTGAGACTGCCAACATCCAGCAGAGCTGCTACAATAGGAACCTGGCTCCTTTAGTGATTCAACTAAGAATTTTCTCCTCTTCTGGATCTTTTCTTTTAAAATAAATTTTTCTTTATATTGGTTTAATTTTAAAGTTTGTGTACATTATTTTTTACACTGGATCTTTCCCATACCTTTACCCACCCCTTTTTCTACTCATGAAATTTTGTGACCTTATGAGCTGTGGTGCTTTAGAAAAGTATTGAATATTCCATAGACTGCTAGGAGAACAAACAGGTTCATCCTAGAGAAGTTGCGACCAGGCTGCTCCTTGGAGGCAAGGATTCTGAAGCTTCATCTGACATACTTTGAACATGTTGCACGGAGGAACCAGTCCTTGGAGAGGGATGTCACGCTTGTGAGTTTGAAGGGACAGTGCAACAGAGGAAAATCCTAGATGAGATGGATTGTTTCAGTGACTGTTGTAATGGGGGTGGGTGTGTCAGTGACAATAAGATTGGCAAAGGATAGAGCAGGGTTTAGGGCTGTTGTACTTAAGGTCACTATGAGTTGCAGGCAACTCGAAAGCACAAAACAACAACAACAACATCAGCAACATAATTATTCCCTCCCTCTCTTGGGTCCTCATACACATTTTACTAGTTATCTTTCTATTTCTACAATAATGGTCTTATGCCGTATCTGTCCTTGTGAGACTGAGTTCATTTAGCATAATACTCTCCATTCCGTCCCAAGTTAGGTAGTGATTTTCAAAATCATTGCTCCTGCATGCTGGGTAGTATTTCATCATGTGAACCTACCATAATTTCTCAACCTATTCCATCATGGTTGGATATTTGGGCTGTTTCCATGATCTTGCTATGGTGAATAACACTGCTATGAACATTGGTGTATAAGTCTCTGTGTCTCAGTTCTTATTTTTTCAGGGTATGGAATTTCTATGTTCAGCATTCCCCCCCCCCAGTTTATTTCCAAAAGTCAAATACAAATTTGAACATATCTTTCAATTTCCCTGATCCCCCCCATCAAACTGTACAACCCAGTGATTATTTCCCCCCACCCTCTGCACATCCATATCCCTTTGCTTCTAGCCTCTCCCACTATCCTGGATTCTTAAACTCATTCTATATTAATTGTTTTGTACTTTATTTTTCCTTGTGGTACAGAGTTAGTTCACTCAGCATAATGCTCTCTAGTCCATCCCAAGTTGGGTAATTATTTACAAAGTTATTATGCCTGCATGCTGCATAGTATTCCATTGTGTTAATGTACCATAATTTCTCAACGCATTAATTTATTGTTGGACATTTGGGCTGTATCCATGTTCTTGCTATGTCGGATAATGCTGCCATGAACATTGGTTTACAAATCTCAGTTTGTGCCTCAGTTCTCATATTGTCATGGTTTGTTCCAAGTAGTGGATTAGGTGGGTCATATGGAATTTCTATGTTCAGCTTTTTGAGGAAGTGCTAAACTGTCTTCCAGTGTGGTTGCACCATTTTACAATCCCACCAACAATGTATAAGAGTTCCTTTCTCACCACATCCTCTCCAACATCTATTATTTGCTGCCATGTTAAACTTTTCCACTGTTACTGGAGTGAGATGGTACCTCATTGCGGTTTTGATTTGCATCTCTCTTATTACCAGTGATTTGGAACATTTTCATGTGTCTGCCATTCAAATATCTTCCTCTGTGAAAAGTCTTTCTGTGTCTTTTTCCCATTTTGCTTTGAGTTACAGGTGATTTGATGACATATAGCAACCTTTACATGTAAGGCTACTGAGGAAGGATAGAACCCAGTTCAGGCCAAGAGAGACAGTTTATTAAGGAGAAACTGCCAGGCTGGCTCCAAAGTAGAGACCAGCCCCAACTTAGAGAGGGGTTTTATATTGTCTTACAAGGAAATTGGGGAAGGGTATGTTCACAGTTGTTTTTTACAAGATAGAGAAGTGGAGTGGGGTCTCAGATAACTATTCCTGGGAAATGGAGGTTGAATAGTTTTAGATCCTTAAGAGAGAGAAACAGAACCACAGCTACTTCTTCCTGTGGTTTGATCATTTCAGTGACTAATCTGGGAAAGGAAGGGAGACCAGTTCTGCAGCCCGAATACAACGTGCCCATACATAGAAATAAAAGTGCATAGGACTCTTAGCAACAGCAATCATGAAATAAAAATAGGTGTTAAAGTGGAAATGTTTGCTCTCAAGGACCTTTGTAAAGTGCTCAAGAGGAATGATGTCAGTCTAAAGACTAAGGTGGACCTGATCCAAATTATGTGTTTTAAATTTGCTTCTTCTGCACCCAAAATTTGAGAATGAATACAAATGACATATATAAGAAGCTCAGGTGCCTTTGCAGTGTGGTGTGGGAGAAGAAAACTAAATATGTCATGGACTGAGCAGAGAATGAACAACTTTGAACTGAATGAAATGCAACCAAGTTCTTCCTCAGGGACAAGTTTGGTGAAACTTGGTCTCACATAATTTGGGTAGGTTTTCAGAAGAGGCCTGTCCTTGGGAAAAAATATCATGCTGGGAAAGTAGGAGGTTGAGAGAAAGAGAGAAGCCTCTCAACAAGATGACTAGATGACAAGATACAGTGACTGTGACAATGATCTAGAGCATATCAGAGAACATGAAGTTGGTGCAGGATAGGGCAAAGTTCACTTTGTTGTTCTTAAGTTCAGTATGAGTAAGTAGAATTGAAGGCACCTCACACTAACCACACTTACATGCCTAAATGTATATACATATATGTTTATATGCCCCACACAACATAGACTTGTGAATATGCATACACATACATATCCATACTGTTTTATGTGAGTATATACATATATATGCTATATGGTGGAATGACACATTTAGCGAAAGAGAGGACGATTCTCAACCATATGGATTGACAGTGACTGTTGCTGTAGTTTCTATTGTGTCAGGACGTGTGAGGATGGCACAGGATAGGACAGGACAGGGTTCAGATCTGTTGTTCACGGGGTTGCTATGGTGCTACTTGATTCAATGGTACCTAACAAC